GATCAACAATGGTGGATGGACGGAGATGACGATGCCATCTTGTGTTGCCCCGGGCCAGTACCTCCTCAGGGCTGAACTCATCGCCCTGCACAGCGCGAGCTCGACCGGCGGTGCGCAGTTCTACATGGGCTGCGCGCAGATTAATGTCTCGGGATCTGGATCGAAGATTGGCAGTACCGTCAGCTTTCCTGGTGCCTACAGGGCGGACGATGCGGGTATCAAACTCAGCATCTACAACGCCCAGGGTCAGCCAAAGGGCAACGGAACGCCTTACAAGATTCCTGGCCCGGCGAAGCTCCAATGCTAGGGTAATAGCACGTCAACCCGAAAAAAAAACTGAACACCGTGGAGCCTACATTGCCACAAAGTTTTCTAGTTTGCTCATTTTACCCTGATGTATTCTGCAGGCCTGTTCGAGTGTTTTTCTTGTACGAGGTGATAGAAGACGCTGGGTGATTTGGATGGGCGTGCGCAGTCGGAGGTAATTCTTGGGCTTTGGGGCTTTTCGCGAGCATCTTTACGACCTTCTATGTACATACTGTAAGGGTAAAATTGGGGGATGAAACGCTGGTGGCCGAGTAGCAAAATATCCAATCAATGTGTCGCCGAGAACAAAAGTGGTATGCGATGGTGATGTGATGTGTCGTTACAGTCATGCGCTCGTGCCTGGGCTGTGCAAATGTACGGGCTGGTCGCACAACGGTAAACGGTGAGTAAGCCTTGCATTACCCCGCTTCAGGCGCGTCCACAGAGGAAAATGCAAAAGCACAAAGAGATAGAGTTAATATCTAGGTACAAGTTTGAAACAGTTATAACTGTGTCTGAGCTACGTGCATCTAAAAGTCTTGCGCTTTTTGCAACATCCTTAACAGCTTTGCATTCGCGGTAGTCTATGAACGCAAGTCAATGTATGATGGTGATGGTGGTTTCTTGTGCCGCATTCCACCGGTAGATGGGCGGTTAGCGGACATGGTCGTGGGTGGGCGCCGGCCCCACCACCCAACAAAATTCTGCGTTTGAAGAACCACTTAGCCAATGAATGAAGTCGTTCATTCGGACGTGTCTGGTGGTCTAGACAAGTCCAGGTGAGGTTGTCTTTGCCCCGCTCGGGCTCCATTTGCACAAGTAAGTCCCCAGTGACCAACATTTGAACAAGGATATAAATCTTGCTGCTGAGCTATCTTCCATCAATCATCACAACCACAGGAGTCGTGCCAGAGTGGTTAATGGGTATGACTCGAATAAGCTGTTCGTTTAGAGCAGCTTGAATAGATATCATATGCCTTCGGGCGCGCAGGGTAAGAATTCACTTCTCCACAACTACACCACCACAAGACAAGCAACTAACAAGCGTTTTCAGTTCGAATCCTGCCGGCTTCGCATTCTTTTTGCCTTTTTACAGGTCCTGTAAAGTGTACTGAAGCGTAGTAATACTTGTGGTGGAGATAAAGGGGAGAATTGAGACCTTTTGCGCACAAAACCACCATTTCTTAACCGATTTTGAATTTGAGACATGCAAACACTTCTACAATACGAATACATTCATTCCAGCACAAATAAAGGCTCATATCTAGGTGTGGGGGTAAAACACGATTTTTGGTCATGTGAGACTTGGAGGGCTCACAAGCCCCACTTCGGCCGACGCACGCAGTGCGCAACTTCAATCCTTCCACAACGTTCAAACACAACCATCAATCTTTTCGCTCCGCTAATGCTCTAGGATTTTGATGCGCATCGTATTCTCTTTGCCTCAGGCCATCGCATGCTGATTTCGAGACTCGGTTGTGCACGCCCCGTTCCTTTAGAGGGAGATCGGCTTTCATGTGCTGCTCACGAGCTCCTCGCCGGGTGCGTCAACATAACAATGCATGCTTTGATCCATACCGAAAGGGAGGGCGACGCGACGCACGGGCGGTACAGTAGGCCTGCTTGGATCACTCGCTGACGAAGTCATTATAACACGCTTGAGGAGACATACGCGCGTGTTGAGCGAGGCATGTGATTTTAACACAGGCTTGCGACCTACGGGGAGAGTGCAACTGTCGCAAACATTGCCAATGGCGAAGCCTCTTGCCTACAGTAAGCTGTTTAAAGAGGGGGAGCTAAGACATAAAACACCCTGCACCCGACAGACTTACCACGACCCTCGTTTTGGGTGATGTACCGCCATTGATAGTCACAGTCGGTGCATCATCAAACATGACGGTACTTTTGTATGAAGGGAACATGATTGCATTATGCTAACAGGGCCAAAGGAATGCACAAGCAGACGACACCCACAGGAACCATCCCGAGGTCAGCTTCGTACAATATTCTCGTGCGGGCAGATGCTACTTTGCTAGCGTACATAATTTCCGTACCTTGGCCACTGCAACACTTGAGTGACGTATTCAGCCCTCCGTCTTCTCGCAACAATAATCAATGTATAAGTACTGAAGTGGTCCAGCAGAACAATCGATATGTTGCTTTTTGCAATTCCCCCAAATCGCTCGATTGTATGCAACAGACGTGACGGTCATGTCATCGTCTTCGCAGAAAACCTTGGCGCCATCAACGAAAGTTCTAGGCTGACAATATCCGTCCTCCTGGAACATGTTCTCGATATCCGCTGTGTTGCAGTTGCCTTCTCCAAAGACGACACCCTGCGTCGCGGAGCACTGAGTCTGGAAGCGGCTAGAGATATAGGTCAGCGCGTGGTCTCGTCTGGGTACCCTGGTGATTCGGATGGATAAGGACGAACTTGACGATCAAACAGCTCTGTACGGTACCAACACCAATTTGGCCGTCTGGACAGCCTGCGCCCATGATCGAACGAATAAGGAGCACAAGGGCTCCGGTAGCGGCGAGCTTCATGCTGTTTGCGTCGCGTCTAATTGTCGACTATTTCCCAAAGTACAATGTGCTCGTACAGGATTGAAAGTCTCGAAAGCGAACTCAGGTGTATGGATAGTATGAAGATGAAGGTCGTCGAGGAGCGAGGAGGTAGTTTTCAAGACCTACCGCGTCAACTGGCGCCTGATATATGATCCTCTGGAATCCCATACGGCCGTATGGCTCCATGGCAGTGATCTTGTTGGGCCAGTCGGTGAACTAGGTCATGCAGGAGAGACATTCATGGATGCCATGGTGTCGACATGGGCGTCATCCAGTCGGATAATCCAGTCTTCAGGCAATCTTCGCTCATCGCTCGAAGCGTATATTGCTCCACGAGCGGCGCCCAAGTATCATTCAATTACGAGCTGACGAGAGAAGGTATAGACAAGCTGGTTCGCCAACATGCTTAGCCGCCTAGCGAGATGCTTGAACAATACGCCCTGTCAGACCGGCTGACTCTAAGATACCTAGGTATGGATATGAGCAAGTAAATAAGCCCTCACTCACTCGGATTGCTAGCCAATCACCTCTGACCCATCACAGCACCTTTGCCTAGGGCCTTACTTATCAGAATCTTCATCAACACTGCCCAGTCATGATTTCATTGCTTATTAGGACCAGACCCGAAAAGGAACAATGGAGCACAGCTGATACCGGTAGGCCTATATACTTACCAAAAACTTCGGAATGCATGTAAGAGGTCCGATCAGACATCCTGATGCTGTCAGATCTGGATGCCATTACCCTCGCCTGATACCTCGCACCGATGGCTCTGGAGTAGACAAAGGAGGCCCGATCAGAGGGCCTGACATCGCTGGATCGGATTACCATCCCTTCTGTCTCATGTCTCTCGTCAGTTGCTCCGGAGTGAATATAAGAGAAGTCTAAGCAGACATCCCGATGCCACCGGAGTTGAGCACTGGGAGTACCTAGGTAGCTACAATTCGTGTCGCATTACGACAAAAAGCCCAAAGTACTATTGAGAATATTTTTAGGTGGACGTATACATCATCTTTAGAACTACCTAGTTGTTAACTTTCACGAGTCTGTATGCAGCAAACGCGAGACAAATCCTAGCCACCCATGGTGGGTGCCATCGCTCCTACCTCCTGCCTCTTACCGAAACCACAGATTGGATACCATCAACAAGCGCACTCCAATCACACCTCACCAACATCACATCCTCCTTCTACCGTCTTCAGCGTCTCACCTCCGCACTTCTCGCTTTTAGTGTATAGCCCCCGCAGCCTTCGTCTGTCTGGCAGGCCCGCAGCCGCTTACTACCACAGTCTCTTATTGCTGCAGCGTTCGTCTCTTCTTTCTTGTATTACTACGTTTGTGGCAACTGTGCTGCGCGTGTTTGCAATTTGTGATATCTTATAGAGACAACCTCTTTCGAGTCACACCTATTAAACTACTCTAGCACAGTGTCTTGTCTTTTATTAATGAATGTAAGTCTGTTATAACATTATATATCTGTGGCGCGGCTACTGCTAGCCTTGAGCTTACTAGTACAAGTGGGGAAGCTAGCGCGGGAACATTTACAAATTCGAATTGTACTGCTAGAGTACATAGTCGGGCTACAATAACAGTGCTCCTTCCTCGTGCATTATACTATTTACTAACTAGATGCTAGAGTAAATAGTTAGCCCACGATAACAGCGCTCCTTCCTCATGCACAGCACTCCAGCAAACAACATCAAAGCTATCGCAATCATACCGTATACCAAAGTACTATCTTAATAACCAGCACGAACCAGGACCAAAGGCGCACTCTATTCGTTCTCATGCCTCACGGTTCTAGCTAACTAGACCTCGGGATGCTGAGGTAAATACTCAGGCCACGATGACAGCGCACCTTCCACGTGCCTCGCGGGTCTCACCAACTAGACCTCAGGATGCTGAGGTAAACCTCAGGATGCGGAGGTAAATGGTTGGGCTCGATGACAGCGCTCCTTCCTCATGCCTCATGGGTCTGACCAACCAAGCCTCACCAAGCTCTCACTTCCTTTCAACGCCCCCGCTCCCTCGCTCCCTCGATCACACGTCCGACAGTTAAGCATCACCAAGCTCTCACTTCCCATCAACGCCCCCGCTCCATCGCTCCCTCAATCACACGTCCGACAATGCCACCAAAGAAGAAGCCTGCTCAAACACCCGCTCAAACACCTGCCCAAACACCCGCTCGGACACCTGCTCGGACATCTGCTCGGACACCTGCTCGAACACCGCGTCAGCAGAGCAACACATTGACGCCTACCGAAGTTTACGACGAGGAAGAGAACGACTTTAGCATCAACGTCCATGCCAGTCTTATGGAAGACGACGAGATCAGCAGCGGAGATGAAGATATCGCAGCCAATATCCCACAGGGATGTGCCGTTAGCGACGACGATCTACTTGATGACCTGAGCCCTACCGACATCGAGGCGCTCGTCCAGCGGCTTCTTCCTGGCATTTGCCAGCAAGGTAAGCTACACGTACTCGTACAAGATGTGATGTACTCCGGCATACTGACTTTATGCTTGCAGATGTCCAAGACTTCCTAGCCCAGATTACTACACACAATTCGCCGCCCTTTACCATACCACGCCACGAGCGAGAGCCTAAGAGCTGGCCCTCGACGTACGAAGAGTCGGACCTGTTGTGGGAAGAGGGAGCCAAGGCTGAGCGAGCAATCAAGCTACCTGTCGGAACCAATATGCCGAAGTGGTTGGACACGTCAGAGGATCAGCTAGGTAAGTTTTCTTTGGTACTTGGGATCTAAAAGGCGGCTGAACTAACTGTACCCTTGCAGTCAAGTACACAGGGAGCATCCAAGACAGCCTGGTTCTAATCACATCGTATCCAACAGTACGCGTTGGCAGTACGGTGCACGCCTCCTACGGGACGACGATGGACCTCTCTAATATAGCGATGTTAATGCTTTACGCGAAGTTGGGACTGCACCTAAAGTCATTCCGACCGACCGGCGCCCTCCACATCAACGCTTTCCCGCGTCGCGTCAACAGAAAGACTGTGCCAACAGGCCAAAAGATTTTGGAGAAGCTTCCGGCTGTCCTACGGAACTACTGGCAGTGTGTCGCGCAAGAATGGCTGGCAAGATCGCAGGCAAAGATCGCCCTACTTGTCGGAGCGGCTGCAGTCACTACCTATCTGTCATATCTAGACGTGAACGATGTTCAGCACCAGCAAATATGGTTGGCTGATGGCAACAATGTAAGCTATAACTGTATGAACTGCACATGAGACACATACTGACTTCGTACTTCTATAGGAGTACCAATCAAGCAAGACACCACCGTGTTGGATCGAATACAACAAGGACAACAATATCAAACGCATCGCATTCTCAGTTCCGCACCCTGAGTATTTCAACCGTTACCGCGGCACTGTAGTCACTCACACGATGAGAGCTAATGCGCTTAAAGAGCGTTTCATTGATTACGCGATGGTGAAGGTCTGGGGTACGGCACACCTGCAAGGCTTTCTTAGCTCGACAAAGTACCGATTTCAGACCACAACGGGTATCATCCTGCGCATGTCTGATTTCGAGAACTACGGCGCAGACAACACCACACTTCGCAAGATTCTCAGTATCCCCAACTTAAGCAACGCCACCCTTAACGTCCTCCTCACCGGCTACAAGAAGATAAGCAAAGAGGAGGTTGAAGGGATCAAGGCGATGCGGAGGGCCATGGACGTCGAACTCACGGAGAAGTCATCATACTGGGATGGAGCGGACGTCGTCTCGAAGTACGGCCACCACGCATTCACGTTCAAATTGATCGCAGAGCGGCGGGAGGGGCCGAGGGAATCTACCAAGCCCAAGACGCAACCCCTTGCATTATCGCTGTATGAAATTGAAGGACACCCCTTCCTCAAAAGATATAACACCACGGTTTCGGACCTTCTCGCGAAGGAAGATATCAAAAAGCAGAAAGCGTGCGCGCGGAGGAGGAAGAGGAGAGCAGTTGAGATGGAGGGTGAGGACAAAGAGAACGCCGAGGACAGCTATCAAACACCGAACTTGACGCCTTTGAGAAAGAGAGTCGCAAGCATTTAAACTCATCTCCATCATACTTGGTACCGGCCAAAGTACGCGACTCGACAGATTAGCCATCAACGTATGATGACACGGATATGGTCTGGCGACATCCGCATGTTGGGGAAAAGGCAGTTACGCTAAGGAAGACCCCAGTTTGGCTCACCATGGGAGAAGAGAATCTGGAGAAGCCTGTAGGCTCTCTACGCGACAGTCTCACGATGATATCGTCATACCCTACTACCGATAGAAACAGTACTATTTATTATCGACAAGGAATCAGCCTGGACTTGTCCAGTCTCTACCTACTGCTACTCTTCGCTGAAATTAGTCTGTATCTACCATCTCTCTGACAAAACAGAGCCTTGCACGTGCATATAATGCCTCGTCGTATCGACCGGAAGCGGGTAACCAGCGGTACGACTCCGAGTCCCCAGTGGGATAGCTTGAACACGATGAGCAAACACAGACTGTGAGACGGCTCAGTCTAGCGGTATACCAAGCCGAGTCCTTTGACAGAGATCGAAGTGTTCCTGTCACCAATAAGAAGCATCAGTTCGCCATTCAGGAGAGGCTTATCGATGGAGCGATATATCGAGGCAGTGAACCAGGCGCTTCTTTATAGCGGTGCCACGCATCTCGTTACCCAGACAGCGATAACTGATCCTCTGATTCGGTCGAAGTACTGGGGATGCGCGACGGAGAAAGAGACGCGCGTCATATGGTCTATTTGCTCTATTGTTGTACATTCAGTCCACCCCGTGGGCACCTCCGCTTGACAGCGCTCGGAGGTGTGCGGTCATATAGCCCGGTAGGGTAGGTGGTGCTCCTCTTCCTAGGTAGGTGCTTTATATAGACATCGACCCCTGCGTGCCTGATAGTAAGACCGAACTTAGCCCTCGTCACCTATTACCAGGTTACGATCAAGTCGTCTTAGTATGACGTCAAGATGTAGTGACCTATGTTGCTAAGAGTGAGTTTAGTGCTATGTTCGTGACGAACGGTGTTGATTGGGGAAGCAGTGGGGTGTGGTAAAACGATCAGTAGGTTGTCCTTGTCGCTTCCTGCAAACTCGACGAGCGTTTTCGCCGGCATGTCGAGCCTGGAGGGCATTTCGATACCAGCGAGGAGCTCAACAACATGTTCCCCTTGCACAGCCATATCCCAAAGTCTGTCTATTTCATCATCGAAAGAAGGCTAGGTCGTTAGCTGTCTGTCCTAGGATAAGATGAGGAAGAGCGGACAAAGCTCTGCGTATGAGCGAATCTCTACATAAAAGTTTTCCTGATTTGATTGGACAACACTAGGTGTATTCGCTCTTTAATCGTACTCACCTCATCGAATGATAGCTCTTCAAACAACCCTTTGTCTGCAATAGACCGTCAATAGATGGTGCCGTCATTGGGGACCTCCATCGCTAGGTTAGCTATCGTCACTGCCGCCGGTGACTACAACGAGGCTTTCCTGCTCCAACCCTCAGCCACTACAAGCCTTGGAGCATACAGTATAGTCTGCCGTGCTAGTCCGTCACCGTAAACCCCAGCGAACACCTCCAGGGTATAACTTCAAGCCTAGCTTCGACCCAGCGAACTTTCTGGTAGCGAACAATACCAAACATCTAGAAAGCTCGGATTCGCGTTTCCTATTCCCAAAATGCCTACCACATAACGCCGCGTCTTGAGTTTCGTTTCAGACCCCAGGACACATCAAAGCAGCGAAAGAAAAAGAAAACCCACCGAATCCTCACCTCGGCTTTACAAGAGAGCCACAATATGCACGAGAGAGTCAGTATCAACCGCAACGGCATCAACGGCATAACGAACCCTCCCTCTCAGTCCACAAACGCCCAGATGCCCTGACCTTCGCACATGCTCTCCAAATGCCGAAGCCCTTCATTTCCCAGAACATGTAACAAACGCACCGACGCACATAATCCCCGTTGCAAGGCCAAAGCAAGTGCGAGAACAAAAAAGCACGCATGTCAAAACATCAAGACAAACCGACCCTTCTTTCCCTCTCTGGTCGGGAAATTTGTCGATACCCTCGGGGAGATCACGGGTCCGCACTCTTCAGCCTCACGGCGACAGCGAAAGGGAAACGAGCAAGGACGGAGGAGGGGTGGTGAAACAAGAAGGGAGGCCGAAATCGCCGAAGTCTTTCCCCACCTTTTGCCGTACCCAGCCACTTGGACTACGGGCACCTCGGAGTCGGCTCTTTCACGAGGCAATTTCACGCATCAAAGTGCGGAGAAAAAAGGCGGTCAAGTCTGTCTGGGTCACTTTGGTTTCAATCTTGCCTTGGGTAACATTGCGCTGCGTTGTAGGTGCGTTTCAATCCCAATTCGCGTGACCTCGAGCCTTTCTCGAAAAGGGTGATGATTAACTGGGTGATCGATGCAAAAGTATGGGGAGGGGGAGGGAGATGTATGTTCATTGGTGGTAGTTGTACAGCGCTTTAATGGTGATGTGCAAGGCTGAGGCTGAAAATGTTGGGCTAGTGTGGCTAGGGGAGGCTGGGGCATCGCGAGGGCTCGCGTGACACACAACCATGTGCAATAACTGGTGCACAGAGCTTGAATAGCATGGTATGTTGATGACGTTGGTTGTGTGGCTGTGAGGATAATGCTCGTAATGGCGGTTAGTCACCAAGTCTGTAGGAGTAGTTGCAAGTCTGCTTCGAGTGTCACAGTAGATATATCATGTAATGTGACTGATTTTGATTGGCGGAGGTGGTAGATAGAGTAGCTAGAAAATGGGGGGTGCTTGTTGGCAGGGTGGCTACATGGCGACAGGCAAGAGGAGCACACATGGGGATAGGGAGCGGCAGGACAGGAACTAATGCCCTCAGGTAAAGGAATGGCTTGGACGAAATTACCGTCCGTAAACAAAGAACAAAGACAAGAGAGCGACCGTGGTGCTCTTGTGCGCCGGATGGAGTTATAAGTGACCCATTCAATTGCCCGGTATCTAACACCCCACAAACGCCCAGTTGAGGAAACAAGAAAAGGTTGGATATAACACAAGAGAGGTGAAAAGATTCTTCGGTGCAGCCGCCACAAATCTTTCTTTATCCTCGTCAAATGCTGGTCTGCACAACGGTATGGTGGTTCCGTCGTGTACTGAATAGTAACGGGCTAAATCGCAAGATGATTCTTACTCTCGTCGTCAAAGCGTGATTGCGCGCACCGTGGTGCGAGACATGGTAGTGAAGGAGATTAGGTAGTTGCGTAGTCAGGGTATGGAGGTGTTCGTCAGCGACGCCAGTCGTGAGAGAGGGTCGACGTGAAGAGCGCACGTGTTGCGCCAATTGCCCTGTTTGAGGCACTTATACGTTGGTAACCTAATGGAGTGTCAGTGAGTGGCGTTTCGTTAGGCGGCATCGTGGATCGCATACCTTCAATATCCGCCTCGAGTAGTCCTCGTTGTCTGCAATACTGCCGTTGCTCTGCCTCCGGTCGACGAAGCTCGGGTCCAGACGCGAGTCGTTCATGGACGAGTTGCTGGTGTGTAGCTTGCCGCCGTTGACGAAAGCATTTACGTTGGCGGCATTGCGACGGTAGTCTTCTTCTGCTTGATGCTGACGTCTCCGGCGAAGCAAGAACCATACACCGAACATGATCGAGGCAAGGGCTAGTATGCCGACGACTACGCCCACTGCGATGGCGATTGTGTTTGGTTTGCTGTCTTCTTCGGGCGCCGCAGATGGAGTGGCCGAAGCCTGGGCGGCACCGGTTGATGTCGGAGCAGCGGACGACGGCTTTGGTGCTACTGAGCTGCTGCTCTCTACTTCGGGCTCGTAAAAGTCGACTGGGTTCCTAGTTGTTCCGGTGAGAACGACCCATAATTTGTCCTTTCCACCACCTAAGCGCTGTCAGTCGGGAGCGAAATAAGGGAAGGTTGTCAGCTTACAGGTCCATGTCTTGTCGCCGCTACACGTGGTGCCACATGTCTCGTTCTTGATCTGCCACTCTTTGGCGGGAATCTCGTCACCACACCAGCATTCCTCGCCGTTCGACAGACCCATAACGGGCTTGTTTTGCTCAATGCAAACGAGTTGACAGTTACCAGGCGACTGGAAGTTGAAAGAGCCGTGGTTCTCGAGTGGGATTCCGGTCTCGAAGCAACCGATGCTCACCATGGCACTTGCTCCTAGGGTCTTTGTTGGTGTGGTGATAGGGTCCGTGACGGTCGCCCATGTTGGCGTTGGCTTCTCTTCCGCGGCGGCCATCATGACCATCGAGGCTGCGGCCAGGGCGGAGGCGAGTCTGATGTACACCATTGTGGTGATGTGCTTGGTTAGTTAGTGGTGCGCGTCGGTCGGCGGTGACAGCGTGTCGCACGGAGGGCTATATGCAGAGGCGTCGACACATGCAAGGCCCTGTGGGCGTGGATAGGTCGGGCGGTCCGAGTCGGCGGCGGTGGTGATGGTGGTGAGAGAGCGAGCTGTTGGGGTTCGGCGTGGATGTAAGGCTGAGTGGATATGGGGATGGCGGCGGAGATGGAGTCGTCGACAGGCGCGATGGACTGGGACTGGAGGCTCGATCAACGATGCCCAGGGCCGTCTGGTGGTGTTGAAACGGGGGGCGTCGTGGCAGAAGTCGAGGCGATGAAACTTGTCGGCTGCCCCTTGGAGAGAACCCCCGTAGAGTGACGCAAAAGGAATGAATCGACGGGAGATGGGTTCTGGGTAAAGAGAGTGTAGTGATGCGATAAAACGATTGTGGGTGTCGACGATTGACAACGTGAAGCAGACAAACGAGAGGAGGCTCGGGCCCTGAGAGTGGATCGCAGTGAAGAGAGGACAGGAGAGTGCGCCCCAGTTAGGACAGGCAGGCATGCAGCCAGGAGCAGGAGCCAGCCTTGGCAATTAGCCTGTGCCTGCGTCTGACTGCCGCCATCTTTAGCCCACCCGCCCTGTAACTTTGGACAGCGCATGCCTCTAAATTGCAGCGCGTCCTCGAGCTCCCCTCGCATCTCCTGCGCCAAAGTCTATCCTCGCGGTATTCACTCCTGCCTTCACGG